CATAACTTCACGCCTTTTATCCACGAAGGGGTAGGCAGAAGTGTACATTATGCTACTGTAAAATGTAACACCCACTTTTCACTATTTATCTTATCTTATGAGTCCTATGTAACAGGGGGTGAGTGCCATATACCGGACACAATTCCAGACTCCGTGCTACTACTGAGAATTTATAAAAACCCAGTAATACTTTGCCCGACCCGGGAATCGAACCCGAGACCCCTAGCCAGTCGCACTTGCGACTACTCGGCCAACAAGGCAAACTTATGAATACCTGAATGTTTTTATAATAACTATCGTGAGACATACTAAATTAACTAAAATCGCGGTATTCACGTGAGTAACCCGCGATTTTAGTTAATTTAACTCGTTGAGCACCGTCATTATAGACACAATTAAAGAACAATCGGTTGCGGTCACCGGTGACCGCTTGGTGTTTGACAGTTTAATACCTAAAATGTCACTAGTTGCGCCCCAAAGGACTATTCTTTAGAAGCACTGCCGCACCGATCTGTTCAACCAGTCGCGATATCATTCGCGGACATCATACATACACACACACATACATACATACATACAGGTGTCGCGGAGAACCTAACGGGTAACCGGGGCTCCGTCTCGACGTGCAGGAGAAGGAACGGGGTGATTTTTAGTCAGTAAGAGTCTGACACTCCCTCCCGCCTCACCCAGGCGGGAGCAGACATTCGATGATTTTCCCCCCTTAAAAAAGTAAATACATACAGGTCATACTGAGACGCCCATTTTTTTTTAAAGTCGGTTGTAAAGGACGATCTGAACACAATAAAAAACAACTCATGAATTATGATTCTAATTATTTGTATGATTTTGTACTGTCCTGTCTGTATCTATTTGTTTGTATATTGAACTATTGAAATGATATAATGTCTACTAACATCAGTTTTTAAGTTAAATGTTACTAACAAGAATATGGACATGGTCTGGAATTAATGATTATTATTAATACTTTGTCTGGTCCAAGAATCGAACTCAATATCACTTGACCAACGAGACAAAATCACTACATATTATAAAACAAAGTCGCAATCCGCCGTCTGTCTGTCCCTATGTATGCTTTTTTTTAAGGGGGTAATATTATCGAATGACTGCTCCCGCCTGGGTGAGGCGGGAGGGAGTGTCAGACTCTTACTGACTTAAAACCACCCCGTTCCTTCTCCTGCACGTCGAGCCGGAGCCCCGGTTACCCGTTAGGTTCTCCGCGACCGTTAGGTTCTCCGCGACGTCCCTATGTATGCTTAGACCTTTAAAACTACGCAACGGATTTTGATGTGTTTTTTTAATAGATAGAGTGATTCTTAAGGAAGGTATAAACCTTCCGTGCATGTATTATACATATAAATGTATTATGCAAATAATGTATAAGGCATATTGTAGCACGGGTCGTAGCCGAGGCGGGTCGCTAGTATTTCAATAAGACCAAAATGTTACCTACTAACGTATTTGTCGACTTCAATATACATACCAATAAATGAAAATGTCTGCCAGTCAGTCTTTTTTTAATGAAACTATATAATTTACTCTGTCCAAAGTACAAAACCCTGAGGAAAACAGTTTTCGGTATAGCTACTACTAATTTGGGGTGTAAATCGATGACGGCACGACCTCACGACCCCTCTTTAATTAGCACTCTTTATTAAGTCGTCAATCAAAGGTTTTATGACCCCATGTCATATGCAGTCCATGTCGTGATGTTCACTTTACTAATTAATTATTTCTACAGAAATATAATATCATTTATAAAGTAATATACAAGGTGTAGTTTTGAAACTGTGACATTTCTCGGGGGCATATCACAGTAAGTCAAAAAGGTTCAATATAAGAGAAAATTTCGGGCCAAAAGTTAAAAATACGGCTATAGTAAATCGTTTAAGTTCGACATTATTACAGAATAAGCGACAGCAATGTTTCTTATTGGAGTTTTATGGAATTAGGAATAATATCAATTACGTGTTTGAGTTTGTCTGTGTTAAGCTGCGTTATAAAGCTAGTTATAAGACGGCGGCGTGTAGTTTGCACTTACGGATTTCCGTAATTTACAGAAAAATGAAAAATATTTACATACAATTTTTTTATTGATTCGGACTCAGAATCTGTGGCCGACTTACCTCCTAGAAAATGACGTGGCTTTAAAACAACACCTTGTATATATATATACGAGTTCTGGTGGAATAGTATCATACATACATTTATCATAGTATCAGAAGTGTGAGCTGCTGACAAACTAGCTGGTTGCCGGGGCTCTGGTTCGAAGTGCAGAAGTAGGAACGGGGTGCTTTTAGTCAGTAAGAATCTGACACTATTTTTCGCTTCACCCAATTCGGAAAAAGTCATTGAATGATCCCCTCCAACAGTAAAAAAAATATATACAGCCACAATATTGAACAACTGCAGCATTTATTTATAACACAAAACAAAATGTGGATCAAAATAAAGAATCTAACCTTGAAAACAATAGCATCGTTTATTTATTGTACCCGGAAAATTAAAATAAATGAAATCGGGTCGTAGACAGTGTTGTGTTAAAAATAAATTTACACCACGCGGTATTGGCGCAGCGTCGGGTTCCTTGTTGTCTTTTACTTGTTTATCAAAAGCATGTCTTTTTGAATTCCACATACTTTTTTTTTAAACGTTGCCCCACATTCTCCTGTGTCGTGGATGCGTTTACAAACATACAAGTTCACATACACAATGACACCCAGACCAGAAACAACAATTTGTGGATCACACAAAGTGTTGTTCCGTGCGGGAATCGAACCCGCGACACGTTGCACGGCAGCCGGTTGCCCAAACACCGCAACAACCGTGCAGTCGGTGCAACCACTGATATAATTTATTTTAAAAGGCTGCAGTATATTAATCAAATAATATTATGATTGTGAGATTTGTTATTTATTATACTGGTACATTGCCTATTTGTAAAGGTTTAAATCACCTGCTACTTTCATCTCTGCACTGCTTACCTAAAGGTTGACTGGGAGACAATGCCCAAGGCATTAAGTCCATCTGTATACACTTGTTGTATAAAGTTGAAAATAAATAAATATATTGACTGACTACTAAGTCGTGTAGGGACGGTTACCGGGTCTCCGGCTCGAAGTGCAGGAGTAGGAACGGAGTGGTTTTTAGTCAGTAAGAATCTGACACTACCTCTCGCCTCACCAAAGGCGGGAAAGCCATTGGATGGTTTCCCCCACTCGAAGAAGTCGTATAGTGACGATAGAGGGGAATATATTATGCCACCTCCACTAGTATTCCTGTGGATATCGTAAGAGGCGAAGAGACTAAGGGACTACACAAATGGCTGCTATTTGTGTAGTCCCATAGTCTCTGTCGAATATGCAGTCTACCCAAAACCTTTGTATTCAGATTAATTTTTGATACATGTTTCTGTAAAAAAGAAAAACAATCCACTGATTTTGAACCAAACTGACAAAGGTCCGATCTCTGTCAAATTTGACGTCTCGACGTCTACTAATACGCACGCTAAATATATTCAACAAAGTTTATTATTATGAAAACAAAAAAAAGGAAAAGAACACTGTTACGTCATTTATTTTGTTATTGATTCTTAAACAGTACGAAGTTCATCGAAACTAACAATAAATAATAAAACAAAAAAACTATAATTTAGCGCATTTAGCCAATCATTTTTTGCTATGTTTGCTTCGGTATGACAGATTGTCAAATTTTTGACAATACTAATTACCTATTACACACTTTGAACGACCGAGAAAAAATATGTTTTTCCAATAACATAACATAACATCACGCCTTTTATCCCCGAAGGGGTAGGCAGAGGTGCACATTATGCCACTGTACAATGTAACACCCACTTTTCACTATTTATGTTATGAGTCCCATGTAATAGGGGGTGAGCCTATTGCCATATATCGGGCACAATTCCAGACTCCGTGCTACTACTGAGAATTTTTAAAAACCCAGTAATACTTTGCCCGACCCGGGAATCGAACCCGAGACCCCTTGCCCGGCAGTCGCACTTGCGACCACTCGGCCAATGAGGCAGTTTTTCCAATAATTGTTAAGTTAAATACTATTAACACGTTCATGTAACTTCAAGTTTTTTTGTGTAATCGTTTATATCGTACGAAAACAAAGCAAGTCCTGCGTTTAATTCGTCTGTAACGAAATACTCGTGTTTAACCCCTGGTATGCCGGAACGGATACGCGAGACACAATGTGTTTTTTATTGTGTCTCACATGCCGGCAGATAAGAGGTAAAAGAACTGATTTACTTTTTATAATGACATTCAATAACTGTTCTTTAAAAACAATGTCATAATCTGAAAAAAAAAAATGTTAAAATCAAACTTCCAAAAAGGTCTTGGCTCCAAAACCGATGATTTCTCCAACTCCTCATTTTAGCCAAGTCAATCTTGGATACTCTTTGAGGTCTCTCCAGTCTACTAGATAAACATAAACATAACATCACGCCTTTTATCCACATTACGGCACTTAAGGCCACTGTACAATGTAACACCCACTTATCACTATTTTATGTTATGAATCCCATCTAATAGGGGGTGAGCCTATTGCCATATACCGGGCACAATTCCTGGCTCCGTGCTACTACTGAGTTTTATTTTTAAATCCTTGTAATACTTTGCACGACCCGGGAATCGAACCTAAGATCTATTGCCCGACAGTAGCACTTTGCGACCACTTGGCCAACGAGGCAGTCAGTCTACTAGATCTTATGCCTTTTCCATCCATCGACCCATCTTTTGAGTGGACGGCGGCACTATCAGTTATTCAATATGGTATTTTCACTCCAGTTACGTAGTGCATTCACCTTCAGTAGTCCTCATCATTTATCTCTCAATTTTCGACGTATAGTGCTACCTATACCTGCGCAGTCCGTCACTCATTATGTCACCAGTAAAAGAAACATCGCGCTCAGTATTTTTCCCTAAAATTTTCGCTTTAATTATCAATTTCAGAGCCGCGCCAAATTCTGACAAAGTCATTATGGTAATACGAATTTCCTAGAAACATGTTGGGTGGCGTCCAAGTTTCGTTTTCTATCCACATTGCAAGTAGAAGATAGAAGGTTCACTTTCTTAAGTCCAAGTATCAAGTGGGACTTGGGAGGGCCATGCTTCAGGACGAATGGGTCGGTTCGACTAGAGTAATACCATCGTAAAATCCCACATGGCTTGTGTTTCGCCGTGTGAGTGAGGTTATCGAAGACCCAATCCTCTATTCTTAAGACCCCCAATCCCCAAGAACCCGACATTTGTAACTACAATGAGAGCTGAACCGATTACCTAAAATTAAATGTACGGTCTACTCATGTGCCGCCTTGTAAAGAAATTTTAGTATTTAGGACTAAGTAAATCATCATCAATAGTCCTTAAACAGTCTACTTCTCTTAGCAAAATATCTCTACATAAGAGAAAATACCGTCACACTTGGCGCCTGGAAAGTATAACGGTATTTTCATGGCAGTTTAGAAGGTTCAGGTTTATCATAAAAGCCTTTTTTTGAGGGGAAAAATCATCCAATGACTTCTCACGCCTGGGGTTTAGTCGAAAGGGAGTGTCAGACTCTTACTGACTAAAAACCGCCCCGTTCCTATTCCTGCGCTTCGAGCTGAAGCCCCGGCAACCCGTTAGGCCTTCCGCGGCTCCTTATCGAGCATCAGCCCTACTGGGATCATAACACCCTGCTGCTTGGTCTCTGTCAAGTTTGTATTATATTAAGACTGAAATTAATAACCTATTTCAATTTAAAGTCTGTGGATTAGGGTCCATTTTTCATATTAGTCATACGGAGTTTCTGTGAGAAACAAAGATAGATCGAGATATTGAGATTGGTTAATAATTTCGACCGTTAAGGTACACATGCTCGTTTCAAGCACGGAAGCATGCTTCAGTATGGCCTATCCTATTTCTGCTCACGAGATGGCACTAGTGTGTACCTCTCGTTTTTCGTCCAATAAAGAATTAGCTAGTGTTACTCCATTGGACGTTTAATATTTGACAGCTGCTGTGATTGGACAAAGCACTTGTCACTTATAAGCATGTGTGTCGGATTGTTGCTTGAAATTAGCTTGCTTATTTCAGGCATGTTTGCGAATACGGTATTTTACAACTAATCAAAGTCAATACTTTTATCAAAACGTCAAAAACGATATTGTTCTATGAATTTTGTACCAAAAACTAACTTATGACGTCATCGTATTTTCGAGTCAACTTATTTCTGAAAAAAAAATGCTAGAATAAATCGAAAATTAAGTATATCGTCAAATATATGAATGAAATTGTAATTATTTTTGAATATTTAATTGGATTGAAAAATCAAAATAATTTGTTATTGACCCAGGAAAATACCTAATTGAGAGGCGTTCATTTTTGAACATTATTGAGCATGCTCAATGGAATGCTTTTTAGCACGCTATTTTGCAGCTAAAAAGTTTTTAGCTTGTGTAATAGTAGGTTTACCTAAAAATGTATATATGTATAATGTATAATAATGTATAATGTGTAAGAGTAGGTACCTTTAGTCGGCACATTCGAGATCCTCGACAAGACTAGCAATGCTAAAAAAATTACAAATCTCATTTCTACTGAGACTTCTGTCTTGTCTCTTCTATGTTTGTGTGTGCAAAGTATATTAGTTCTGGTGCTAAGGTCATCTTTTGTTACTTTTCCTATTTTGTTCCGACAACAATTTTCCGACGCGAACTCGACGCGACGGTCCTTGACTTTCCAAGTTGGAGAAAGTGGTCTTTTACGATGATATTTTATTATAAGTGGCTCTATAAAAGGTTTATTAATGACGCTTATGCTACGTAGATTTAAAAAAAATGACAAACGTGGCCTTGTGATCCTTTTTTTTAAGGGGGGAAAAATCATCGAATGACTGCTCACGCCTGGGTGAGGCGGGAGGGAGTGTCAGACTCTTACTGACTAAAAACCAGCCCGTTCGTTCTCCTGCACGTCGAGCCGGAGCCCCGGTAACCCGTTAGGTTCCCGCGACGGCCTTGTGACCATTAAGATTTTGTTTTATTTCTTGGGCCAGCTTAACTCTGACTCTCTTTGGTCGATATACCTTTTTTATTATTTTTTTACAAACTCTTGATTAACAGTTCGATATTGGAAATTCTTCGGTAATAGTAATAAGCACACACCTATATTCATGTATAATTTACTAGCTATTGTCCACAACTTCATATCAAGTTTGTTTTGTTGTAAGATAATAACTTTGTAAATGCTGTATTTACCTATAAGTATTTGTTACACTTACTGTAAAGAACTCACATTTGTACCTCGACAATTGTATTGGTGTAAACAAATGTTGGTAAATCATAAATAAATAAATAAACTTCGTCCGTGTTTTTACGGGGCTACTATGATCCCTGTTTTATTTCATTAGAGCATTTAATCGGATAAAAACCAAAGTATCCTGTCACCTAAGTCAGCCCATACCTTGACTGCATACCAAATTTCATTTCCCAGAAACAGAACCACAGCATTCAAATCACGGAACATAGACAACACAATAAAATCTTTAGGCCAACCGTAGTTAGCCTTGATACTATATTGTAAACTTTCCATAATATTATCATCTAAACCTGTATTTCTTAGTGCGAGGTCAATATATTCATTTTCCTTATAAATAGCTATTTAATACATAGTTGATTAGTTTAAAAGGTATATATTGGACTTGAACTTGAAAGAACGTAAATGTGGGACAGCCATGCTTCGGCACGAATGGGCCGGCTCGACCGGAGTGATACCGCACAGAAAACCGACGTGAAACAACGCTTGCGTTGTGTGAATGAGGTTACCGGAGACCCAATTACACCCTCCCCTCACCCTTTCCTGATACCTGAATCCCCAACAATCCTCAAATTCCTAATCTCAAAACGCCGGTACCGCACTTATTAAACGCCTCTGGTGTTCGACGTGTCCATGGGCGACGCCGATTGCTTACTATCAGGTGATACGTCTACTCGTTTACCGGCTTGTACCATAAAAAATCAATATTTGATCCATGCGTCTTATTGCCTACTTGAGCATAATTGAACCTTTATGCTGACACTTATAATTATAGTACCACGCAAGCACGTTGAACAAAACGCGGACGTAATGTCACTTAGAAATGATTGGAACACCAAAATGTCAGTGGTGTATGTGTGCGTGTACTTGCAACACCGTAATGTATGAAGTGTAATGACGGGCCATATCACGCGACAGATGTCCTTCGTGTCAATGTGTGTGTATTCTGCGTGTAAGTCTATAGTAGGTAGTGGCCACAGTTGTTGTATCAAGAGAATATGTTCGCGTACGTGAGAGCATGGCCCATGCTTCAGCACGAACAGGCCGGCTCGACCGGAGTGATACCACGGCCTCGCAGAAAACCGACCAGAAACAACGCTGCCATTGTTTCAATATGTGAATGAGGTTCATGATGATCATCAATCAACAGTCTATAAGGGTTCATTGCTGTAACTATGATCCTCCTCTACTAAAGTGGGGTTTGGCATAATCTCCATGCTTAGCAGACAGGTGGGAGATAGCAGTTTAATAATGTTTATCAGAGAGCGCTGCTGTCCGGTCGCATTCAAATATGTACTAGTCCCTTAGTCGGGTATACTACACCCGCGGGAAGAGCAGGGGTGGTGGTAAATATATTATGTTCTGCCGTCACTTCAAGGCATAAAATTCAATATAAAAACTGAACAGGTAAATGTGAATAATTTTTTCCGGCAATATGGAGACAATAAAATTGAATGACGTGCTTTCCAATAAATGTGAATTTGTAATGAGGTAACTACGCATATATTATTCAGAGTTGATTTTATATTATTATAGTTCAATCGTTTTCTTATTAGTTGTTATGTTATTAGAGCCAGACTCTTAACTAACTAAACACCGCCCCGTTCCTGCTCCGTCTTTAGTTACTTTCGAAAAATAAACCAAGATGATTAATATTAAGCCACACTAGGGGATTAAGTGTGGGAGAGCCATGCCTCGGCATGAATAGGCCGGCTCGACCGGAGTGGTACCACGGCCTCACAGAAAACTGACGTGAAGCAACGCTTGCGTTGTGTTTCGTCATTTGAGTTAGGTTACCGGATTCCCAATTACCCCCACCCCCCTCTCCAACATCTCCAATCCCTGAATCCCCAACAATCCTCAAACTCCTAATCCCCAAAAGGCCGGTAACGCACTTGTAACGTCTCCGCCATTCCAGGTGTCCATGGGCGACGCCGATTGCTTACCATGCGGTGATCCTTCCACTCGTTTACCAACTTATCCCATAAAAAAGGTGACAAATGTCCTGTGACACGCGTCGCCAGCGACGTTGGGTGAAGTAGCGCGACGTTGCCGGACTTTGGTCGACAGTCTGGCAACATCAACGTCGCTGTAGACATAAGTCGCGCGTTGTCGCCATTCTGTCAGGGTTTGTTTGACATGTCGCCGAATTCGCCGACATAGCCTCTAGCGTATACTTCGCTTTAATTATGCATAACCAGACCAGATTTAAATATTCCTCTCACACGACAAGGTAAATATTTTCAATAAATGTCACCTTACACTTTCCACACGATGTGACTTTGAAAGGGCGTACAAAATTAATTAATATTTGCACAGAATATTAACGTGTTTTCAATAATCTGTGCGATGTTGTGTTTGAATAAGTTAGGGAAATGAGGGTGTGTTTGTTTTCTTTGCATAATTATTTATTTACGTGTTGTTTTTGTTTCTGAGTTAACTCGTTGAGTACCGTAATTATAGACACAATTAAAGAACAATAGGTTGTGGTCACCGGTGACCGCTCGGTATTTGACAGTTTAAGACGTTGTTTAAATATTTGGTATTAGCTTCTGCTAGCGGATTTTCTCGTGTTTCCAGGGATAAAAAGCAGCCTACGTATTAGACTTTCTTCAGACCCTAATCTACCTCCGTAAACATCGGTGATGTTGCGCCGCGTTGCTGCCACGACGGTA